TAATGTATGTAACAAAGCAGGCAGCCTGTTTACTATAAGAACTCATGTGCCTACTCTTAATGTGCCAATTTCTCTCATATCTTGGAATTTGACATACTCTACCAATGTAACCTGGACCATTTATTCAGATTTCTTTATGTTTTTGTTGGTCTATTAAAGTGTTGTGTACTTTTCACTGAAGCTGCTAGTTTTTGTCATTGCTGAGCCTTGAGGATGTTAGCGGTCTGCTTATTAGCCCCCCAGGAGTTATGGAACATTTTCCTGAAATTCTTCCCAATGTTTCCAGCATTGATAAAACTTGATATAATCAAACATTCACCAGTGCTATATAGCAGCTTTTGGTACATTTTGGAAAATAAAATAAGTTTTTAGGCTTGCTTTATATCAAATATAGTGAAAAATGGGTTGGTCAAAAATATTAGCTCCCATGTGAATTTTTGCTTTCAAAACACACCTAATCAATCAATCAGCTTTCAAACCACACCTAATCAATCGATCAGCTTTCAAACCACACCTAATCAACCAATCAGCTTTCTTTTTTGTTTTTAGGCTTGCTTTATATCAAATATAGTGAAAAATGGGTTGGTCTTCATTCGAAAGTCAGGACCATACTGCCCCCTGTGGATCCTGTAAGGAAACTGCACTGCAGTACAGTTAATGGGGACAATGAAAACCACAAATCACTTTTTTAATTGTATCTGTTCATGAGTAAAATAAATCCAGATGTACAGAAGAAGAAGCTAATTGTAATACTGTTGTGATAGTGGATGACTTGTGGCTTCGCAAATGTTTCAAATACATCTTTCTAAGTTTCCAAAACTCAGTCAGTAAACATTAAACAAGAAATACTTAGAAATGTTACTTAAAAGAAAGTAATACCATTTACCAAACTGTAGTAAAAACCCTGCATTCAAGTTCTTACCTAAGTAAACATATAGGCAAGACATATTCATAAAAGCATAAACATTCTTACAGTACTAAAGGTACAACTATTTATTGCACAAAATGGCGTATGTTCATAATTCTAAGTATGTTATATTATTGTGTAATGTATACTTAGTGACTGAGTTAAGTATGTCGAAGCTGGTGAAGTTTAAATGTTGACTGCTCTACTGCCGTGTAGCTGGTCAAGTTCTCCTTGGGGATTAATAAAGTCACATTTTAACCCAAAATGATACAAAATATTGAATTTGTTGAATCCATTTTGCATTTTTATTTGAAGTCACTTAAAGGGGACCTATCATGCAAAATGCACCTTTGTACGTCTTTTATACATGAATATGTGTCCCCGGTGTGTCAGGAAACTCACCAAGAGTCAGAAAACACAACCCTCTCTATTTTCCTCCATACCCAAATCTCTAAAAACGGGGCTGCAACGGATCTGATACAGACTGATACAGATTTGAACACTTTACTGACGTCAGGACGGTGGCGCTACGGCTATTACGCTGTAGTACATATGCCAGGCCTGTAGGTGGTGCTGTTCTCACAGAATCAGCCCTTGCAAAAACAGGGCTAAAAAAGTGCAAATTGAGCGAAATGAGGCATGGCTAAAATGCATGATCTGTTTGGTATTTTGAAGAAAAAAAAAGTATAAATATAGGTCCTACACTATATTATTAAAATATAGCATGATAGGTCCACTTTAAGTGATCAAATACCGTAAGTGGAGTAAAAAGTGCAATATAGGCTATCCCTCTGAAATCTAGTGAAGTAGAAGTATAAATAGCCGGAAAGTAAAAATACTACTTAAAAGTTGTAAATAAAGAACTTGCGGATATTAGTTAAATTCCACGACTATTGTACGTGAATAAAAGCTTCTTCAGATGTGTTTACTTTGGCCCATTCTCCTTCTGACCCTTCTTCCTGATATCTCTCCATTACACTCTATTGCCATTCTCCACCTGTCCACGAGATGCCCTTGGACTCTCCTCCCCCTGGTCACCTGACTCCCACATCCTCCTGCTCACCTGTGTCTAATTTCCTGCTCATTTGTCATGTTGATTCGTGCCCCTTTCAGCCACCTGAACCTGTAAATCTGCGACCCTGAACCCAGTAACTGATCCCTGACCTGCTGCCTGCTCAGGATTCTCAGTTACTTTTGTTTGGACTTGCTTCCCCTGCCAGTAAGCTTTTTGTAATTTCACTTTTTCAATAAATCACTGAAACTGTATTTTCTGCATTTGCATTTTTCACCTTGTTTTGGAACCTCCATCACCATCAGTGCTGGAACACAAGTAAGTACATTTAAAGTTATTGAGTGTTTCCATGTTATGGTAATTTAATCTTCTTCTCACCTACACTTCAGATGTGTATAATGCTATTTTTTACTCACCTACATTTATATGGCATTTGCTTTTCAGATGAACATATTAAATACATATTTTGAAATGCTTATAAAATTCAAATTGATTGTTAAAGATGTTTTTGGCATGTGATCCCTTACAAATAAGCAGAGTATTGGTTAGTTGAATGCAGTGCAGCAAATAACTCAAATTCACAGATGCAGGCATTATCCAACATTTCACACACTACAGCAAAGATCAGAGAAAACTTGTCATCGTCTGGAATAAATAATTTATTTGGTATATCAATTTGAAATAGCTTATTCTACAGATTATACTGATAAATCCCGTATGGATCAAAGTGCATATGAAAGCGTCCCTGCAGCTGCCCTCCATTCTTCAAAATGACTGTAAAAACATTCAGTGAGTTTAGCACAGTATATTTCACATGTTAATCATTTTTTTAACAGCAGTAATGATAACCTTTGACTTGTAATTAAGATGAAGGTTTGGATTTGGAGCATTTTGAAACATATGCTGTGTTATGCAGTCCTGCAGTGAGGAGTTCAACAGTCACAGTGTTGAGTCTGGTCCTGAGAACTTAAAGAGCTAGACTCTTTGACAAAAGGGAAACTTTACACAAGACAAAAAAGCTTTGGATAGTGTTTAAGGTTTAGTGTGTTGTTTCTTTGATATGATAAACTTTTCATGGACTGAAATAAATACAAATCGGATATAACAATCATCACATATATGTACATGCATACAGTTGAGGCCTACATTATTAGCCCCCCAGGAGTTATGGAACATTTTCCTAAAATTCTTCCCAATGTTTTCAGCATTGATAAAACTTGATATAATCAAACATTCACCAGTGCTATTTAGTAGCTTTTGGTACATTTTGGAAAATAAAATAAGTGTTTAGGCTTGCTTTATATCAAATATAGTGAAAAATGGGTTGGTCAAAAATATTAGCCCCCAGGCCATTAATAGTCAATAGTGTACCCTTTCTGAGCCACAACTGACAACAACCTCTTAGAGTAGTTCTTTACTAGGTTGGCACAGGTCTCTTGAGGGATTTTGGCCCATTCTTCCATTGCAAATTGTTCCAGCTGGTCCAAATTGCGTGGTTTCCGAGCATGGACATTCACTTTGAGCACCCGCCACAGATTCTCAATAGGATTAAGATCTGGGCTATGTGCGGGCCACTCCAGTACCTTGGTCTTGGTGTCCTTTAGGAACTGTTGGACCAATTTTGATGTGTGCTTTGGGTCATTGTCTTGTTGGAAGACCCAGCGACGACCTAAGCGAAGACTAAGAGCAGATTTTTTCATATTATCCCTCAAAATGTCAACATAATTTTAATTTTTCATGATGCCTTGTACCCGAACAAGGCTCCCTGTGCCTGAGGCTGCAAAACAGCCCCACAGCATGATGTGTTCTTAGGGCTGAAGGCCTCTCCCTTTCTTCGCCAAACATAAGCAACATCCATGTGCCCAAACAGTTCCAGTTTAGTCTCATCAGACCAAAGCACAGACTTACAAAACTCATCTTTACCTTTCAAATGTTCACGGGCAAACCTCAGTCTGGCTCTGATGTGCCACTCTTTGAGTAAAGGGGTTCTTCTGGGACGATGGCCCTGAAGCCCACCACGATGAAGAGCCCTCACAACTGTGTTCCTTGAAACATCAACTCCAGAAGAGGCCAGGTCAGCAACAAATCATCTTGGCAGATGTCCGGGGATTCTTGCTGACATCTGACTATTTTCCTCTCCAGAGTTCTTGAAATCTTGCGCTTTCGACCACGCCTAGGTTTGTTTCTTACAGAATTTGTCTCCTTGTACTTCGCAATGATGCAACGTACAGCAGTTCTAGACACTGTGAAGCGCTTGGAAATAGCAGTATAGCCTTCCCCCTTATCACGAGCCTCCACTATCTTCTTTCTGAGCTCAAGACTGATTTCCTTTGTCTTTGGCATGGTGAGTAGGAGTAGTAGTATAGTCCCTCTCAATAAGGTATTCAAGTGCCTGTTTCTTGGAGTCCTTTTATGCTGATTGAATGCTCAGGTGTGGCTTGAAAGCTGATTGGTTGATTAGGTGTGGTTTGAAAGCTGATCGATTGATTAGGTGTGTTTTGAAAGCAAAAATTCACATGGGGGCTAATATTTTTGACCAACCCATTTTTCACTATATTTGATATAAAGCAAGCCTAAAAACTTATTTTATTTTCCAAAATGTACCAAAAGCTGCTATATAGCACTGGTGAATGTTTGATTATATCAAGTTTTATCAATGCTGGAAACATTGGGAAGAATTTTAGAAAAATGTTCCATAACTCCTGGGGGGCTAATCATTTAGGCCTCAACTGTAGATTCACACAGTTCACTAAACTATTACAAATAATCAATGCCTGAGAACCAAAGAGGTGTGGTGTTGCTGCAACGATTAGTCAATCGACAGAAAATATTTTGGCCAATATTTTGGCCAATTTGATGGCATCTCATTGGATTTTAGGAAAGTGATTAACATTAACGTTAACATTAAAACACGGTGTGACAGATTTTATCAACCAAAAATGGATTAATTGCTATTTGCAGGCTGAGAGGGATGGACCATGTTACAGCCGCCTTGCCACAACATGGACTAAGCTGAGTAATAAAGAGAAGAACATACTTAGTTTCTGAGTTACGTTGCTTCCATGCTTAAATACAATGTGTTTTTCCCACTGCTTGTGTTAAAGGATGCATATGGACAAGGGTTAATTGGTTCCTCCGTCATCTCTTTTCTCTGTTATCCTAAAATAAGAAACATAACAGAACAGAGCAGCAGTAAGTCCAATTATTTTCAAACATGTTAACAGCTCATACCATAGATCAAAAAACAAATCACCCATTGCAGAGAAAATACAAATATCTACATTTTAAGCTACATATAATCATGACTTGAATTTTGTGAATTGTCATAATGGGAGAATGTCACCTGCTGGGTTGCTTCGTAGTAGCTGTTCTCCTCCAGCAGTTCCTCTATGATCCCCTAAAAATAAACATTTGTACAGGAAATCACGTTACTGGCAGACAGACATTCAATATGGTTGTGAAGCGGAAATTAAATGTTTTTATTCCAACATGTAAAATTAGATCCAGAAGGAGAAAGAAAGGTGACACCTACTTATACAGAACCATAATATTGCATTGGTGTGTGGTAACAAAAATATGTATTCATTATTTTTTAAATATGGAACAGTTCAACGTTTTCGGAAATCTTGGTCACTTTCTTGACGAGCATGTTAAGGAGATTGATACCCCTCTCTGGATGTTAAATATAGTTTAGCATTATAACTGGAATCTGAGGAAAACCGGCTGTCCTGGCCCGGTCCAAAAGTAACATTGTGAATTCTGAATCTAATACCACTAATCCACACTTTCATATCATGTTTGTGTAATATGTATTAAAACGGCAGTGTAAAAATGACATGGAGGGGTTTCACGGGGTGATGGGCTGGAACTATTTCTTGAATGGCCGCAGTTGTTATCCCTGCCTTCAGTCTACGCTAAGACAATTGCTCCTGGATGTAGCTTAGTATTTAATAGAAATAAATGTTAAGTGGTATCAATAACTCCAAGATAAGAGTTGAATAAGTATATTTCCCCAAAAAGTTTTACTGACAAGGTTTTTTTATAGACATAATGAGAAAAATACAGATTGCCTTCTCAGAAAAACAGACCTGCATCTGCTGATAGGTGACTCCGTCTTTAAGATTCCCGTCATCTGTCAGAAGCAGAGAGGAAAGCAGATTGGCATCACAATTTAAACTACTTAGCACTACTTAGAATTTTCATAAGGTTTGCTTCCCAACCAGATTTACTAGAAGTCGTTTAAGTAAAGCTGAAATTGCCAAAAACGCACCAAACATATTCTCATTTGAGCTTAAGAGTAAGATCTGTCAAAGAAGCTGCAGTATTGTGTGTTGTTGTAGCTGTGGACATTTTAAATATCGCTGTACCTGAGCTGTCAGCATTAGCCTCTCCTGAGAAGTGGTGGAGCAGAGGCCACCAGTCTGAAGAGGCTGAGCCTAACTCCATCAGCTCTGGAGAGGCCTGGAGGAGCTGCAGGGAAACGGGAAGGACATCCTCATTTTACTTAGGGGGGCGGCAACACTCTCCGGAAATAAAACATAAAATAATGTACCTCATGTACACATTAACACCTTTATAAACATGGATAATAAATCACATCAGAAAGTGCTGTGGCCTGACTGTCAGACACAAATAATAAATCAATCACGTGCTAAGTTGCAGCAAGTCTGAGTTGAGGTTTACATATAAATAACATTGTTGACATACCCATGTTGGGTAAGTTGACAAACCTTGCTGAGCTGCACTTTAAGGTTGTATGGATCACTCCCAAAGTGGAACAGAGACTTTTTAAATCTTTCAATGACACGTCGTTTGATGTTGTGGTGTGGAGCTGGTGGAAGCTGCGGATAAATTAAAAAATTTAAAAAAGTAATACATTTCAATTGTTATTTCTTACTTGCATTTAAGAACTATTTCTGAGTCAGGTTGATGTGATGATGAAAAACAGCTGGTTTTGGCGCTTGATGGCCATGTGGTTTTAAGTTTGTGATGCATTTGTAATGGAAAAAATAAGCGAAACAGTCAATACATTTGGACTGATGAGATATGTTTGCAGCGTTAAACTGAACATTGATGCGATCTAACAACAAATCTTATGTTACTGTACCTGAGTGATGTAAACAATCTTGTGCAGCTGCACGAGGAGCCTCTGGATGGGATCATCAATCTGCCGGACTTTCTTCTGGGAAACACAGATCCCTGCTGACAGTGAGGTAAGAGCAAAACCACAGACAAACAGGGGGACTCAGGCTAAATACACAGGAAGTAAACACATTATTTTTGAACTTTTAGAACGTCTGCTCTTAAAGTTATTTTGTGTAGAGCTTTCCCATTCGGTTGAATATGCACCTGGTATTGGTTTAATGTTGGCAGCAGCAGAATCCCCACTGAGATGAGAGGAGAATTTAAAGGGAAATCAGTCAATTGTGTCAGATACGATTAAACAGTTTTTTGTTTATTCATCAACAAACATCGGCTACATTAACAAATACGTTTTTCACATGACTAAATATTGATACTGTGCCTGAATTCGAACCAATACACAGTTCTCACTGACCACACAGAAATGGGTACTTTTTGATTTTATACTTACCTAGACTGATTTCGGTCAGGCGTAACACGGGCACTGGAAGTTAGTCCTTTGATCAAAACAAAACTAATTAAAAACTAATGACGAAGTCTTACCCAACCTCATGAAGAATATGATGGGCACTAACCGTAGTGTTTTCCTTTAGTGATGTTGGTGTTGCATTGCTCATCATCTCCATCTGAGGCCTCATCTAAAACACACGTCATTATTTTTATTTGAAGCCAAATCTTTCCTAGTCTGTTTTAAATGATGTGCAGTATGAGACAGTTACCTTGCTCACTGTGGTTTGAACTACCGGCCCCAGAAGACCGTGGAGTTGGATATTCAATATTTATTAGGCATTTTTCCTGCAAAGATTGCAACATGTATAAATCGAAAAGGAAATACAAAAAATTACATTTTTTTACAACTTTTGTTTTCAAAATCCTATCTACCTGAGACGGGTTCGAGTGACAGCAGTTTGTCTTGCTTTTGTGCCTCTCCAGGAAGTACTTCTGCGCTCGTTTCCTGTCTCTCTCTGCTCTTCTTTCCAGTGCATTCTGGGAAGTGTAGAGGCCGTCCATCAGCCTCATCATGAGGTCGGAGATCCTCGAGCTGACGGCCACAATATCGGGCCGCTGGTCTGGATCTGGACTCAAGCACCTGAAAGGAAAACCCCTAAAGTATGTTGGAGACTGACTGATTTTAAATTACTTTAATATATAACAATAAAAACACAAAATAATGATGGGATGAAATGTACGTCATAGAAAACTTTCCAAAATGTAGTATTTTCCAAATGTTTAAAAATAATGATTTCTCTTTAAGTCTCACCATCTGATCATATCTGTGACTCTCTCTGAGAAAGCTCCTTCTTCAATTGGCTCGTAGACAGCCCCTACAATCTAAAAGAAGCAAAGAACAATAAATAGAGGGCAGGGAGAAAAAACGGTGTGTGTGTGTGTGTGTGTGTGTGTGTGTGTGTGTGTGTGTGTGTGTGTGTTGTGTGTGTGTGTGTGTGTGTGTGTGTGTGTGTGTGTGTGTTGTGTGTGTGTGTGTGTGTGTGTGTGTGTGTGTGTGTGTGTGTGTGTGTGTGTGTGTGTGTGTGTGTGTGTGTGTGTGTGTGTGTGTGTGTGTGTGTGTGTGTGTGTGTGCACCTTGCTGGCCAGTGACAGCATGTTAGTGCTGTAGAACGGAGGCTGTAAAGTGGCCATCTGGTAGAGGATGCAGCCCAAAGCCCAGACGTCTGCTTTCTCTCCATATGGCTCATTCTTCACCACCTCTGGACTGACACACACACACACACACACACACACACACACACACATATATGTTCAACGGAACACACACACAGCTGTTGTCCTCACCATAAACACACTTGAGCTGCTGTATCTGCTGTTTCTCTAAGTTGCTAACAGGCTGTATAAACAGCTCTGCTATACTTCCTTATAGGGTATGTTCACCCACAGAGGATTTTTCTAATTTTCTTCTTCTTATCTTAAAACAACGTTTTATTTTCACATGTTTGAGATATTTGGTGGCCCAATACGAATAACAACAACTAAAATGCATTTATGATGCTCGAGAAAACATATATTACACAATTTTCAACAGATTTTATTCTAGAGTTCATTGAGAAGTCTTTACGGTAGCTAGCAGTAGCCTGATGCTCAGAATGAATTTCCTCACCAGGAGTAAAGGATGGTGCCGACCACCGAAGTTAGCTTGATGTTCTCCTGTTTCTGCTTAGCGAGGCCAAAGTCAGCTAAAAGTAGAAGAAAGACTTAGGTTAAAAGCGTATCAGAAAAGAAAGGGAGAGTAATAAACTGGTGACACTCACTGATGGTGACTTTGTCCTTCTCCCCCAGCATGATGTTGTTAGGCGAAAGGTCGCGGTGGACTATTCTCTTTTCCATGTGCAGGTACCTCAGTGCCAGACACATCTGAAGGAACATAGAGAAGATATATTGATTGTTAATTCAATTATTTTTTAGGTTTTACATTATTTAAATCTTATGATGAATATCTTCATATTATGTCATGTAAAAGTTTTTTAATCGTTTATTTGGCAGGGACAATGCACATCAATGAACACTTAAAACAATACAATGTGTCAAGCGTAACAGTGCCAGATTTAGCTTTGAGCTAATTTCCATCCGCAGTCCCTCACATAAAACATTTAAGAAAATGACATTTTACAAACATAGCAAAAACAAATACATGATATGCAAAAAGTGCAAAAGAGCAAGAGCAGCATACACAAGTATTTATCACATGGTAATACAATATAGCAGCTACGACATATAAAGTGCAAGAGAAGATACAAGAGATACATAAAGTGCGAGAGAAGATACCCCTGTGTTAAAGTGCATTTAGCGGTGATTGCACATCTGGTTGTTTCTCAACCATTCTTTGAGTTGACCTTTGAAGCTATTGAGAGTGGGACAATCCGTATCTCAGTTGGGAGGCTATTCCAGAGTGAGCTGCCTTTAATGGAAAGGACATTTTGTCCAAAAGTGGTCCGTATACAGTGGACTTCACAGTCTCCTCTGGTTTCTGACCTAGTGCAGCGTCCAGTGTGTTTTTTGTGGATGAATTCCCCTAAGGGAGGGGGGGCCAGTCCATGTAAACATTTATAAAAAAAGCACATACTTTTAAAAGACTTAGAATTGTCAAAACTCAAGAAATTGTGTTTTTCAAGGATGGTACAGTGGTGGTATGAATTTGGCTTTCTGTCAAACACCTTGATAGCTCTCTTGTACAGCTGTTCTATTGGTTTAAGGTTTGTGGCACAAGCAAACGGCCAGTTTGTAAAACAGTATTCAATATGTTGTGTTTTTAATACTTAACCAGGTGAAGATTTCCCAAAAAGGAGAGCTGTTACCTGTATGAAAACATTCCAAAGTCTGTCTTCTGTGAATTTCTGCTGCTTCTCCTTCAGAGAGTTGAAATGTTCAGCCAGTGGCACTCCCTCGATCAGCTCCATCACAATGTACAGCCTGTCGCCTAAAACAAATGTTATTTAGGCTTTGAACTTTTGTTGTATTCATTTCTTTTAAAAGCTTTCAGCTAAAATGATCCTTACCTTCCAAAAATGTCTTGTAATATTTAACAACGTTTGGGTGCATCATCTAAAGAAGGAGAATCAAAGAATACATAAATACACAAACCATGGCTGTTCTTGGCTGTAACATAGTTTGTCAGTCACTACATTAATTTGCCTGTTCTTTGATGATCGTGAGCTCAGAGATTATTTTCTCCACGTTACTGTCTCTCGACTTCTTGTCTTTGCCAAACACCGGGTTATGGAGGTTCACTTCTTTCAGAGCAAGGAGGTTCTGGCCACTCTGCTTTCGGACCTGTCATTGAGTATAAGTATTGTTTTATTGGAGCCAAAGAAACTTGATATGAAACACCTAAACTCTTGTATTGTGTCCAAGGATGTTAGTCGTGCCTTAAATACGCTTCCAAAGGCGCCAGTGCCCAGATGGTCCAGTATGGAGTAACCGTTGATGACTTTAAGGGGAGGTCGGTTCTGGTCCACAGTCTCTATGCTCTCTTTTAGACTGTCCACTTCCTCTTCCTGTATCACATATACACAGAACTCCATCCATTTGCAAGGTAAATAACCCTCCTTGTCAAACTTTATAGTTTTATTCATGTCTAATCACAGTAATATTTGAATTTGAAAGCCAGAAACTGCAACATAAACAGTGGAATCCATTTAGAAGCTGTTCTCTTACAGTGTAGAGTGAAACTTTGGTTTGCAGCCCCTCGTAGGCCGTGAGGTCCCGCACATAATGTCCAACATCAATAAACAACTCAAAGAGGTCTGTGGGAAAGAGTCTGAAATGGATCAGAGATTACATAACAGCACTGGGGAACATGAAGAGAATTCTTCCAAAACAGATTTCCCAAAATAGCTACATTTGGAAGATTAATGTATGAAATGAACCTAAGGCAATACATGTTCTTTTTTTCCTTAATGATATAACATCACCTCTTAAACAGATGTCGGTTTCTTTCCACACTAAAGAGAAACCGGAGGGTCCGAAATGCATAGCACTGTCAAAATGCAAACAAATGTACAGATGTGTTAATTTAAATCAAATCAAATCAAGTTTTATTTATAGAGCACATTTAAAAGCGATTTTTGGTCGAGCCAAAGTGCTGTACATGTAATAAAAACACTTTACTACAATAACAAGAAAAGACAATAATTTACAACAGAAATATAAAAAACTAAAAGACAGGGAAATGTCAGGTGTCGTGCTCCGCTCTGACTAGAAGGCCAGAGAGAAGAAGTGTGTCTTCAGTGAGGATCTGAAAACCCCTAGGGTCTGGGCCGACCTCACATGGAGGGGCAGACTATTCCAGAGCCTAGGGCCAGCTGCTGCGAAGGCTCGGTGCCCTCGGGTTTTAAGAGGTTACATGATCTACATCCACAATATTATGTAATTTAATTCCTACATCAAGCCAAATACCTGTAAAGATGTGCGCTTCGGTCTTTGGTTTTGTGGTAAAATCAACTTTACGATTATATAGACCCCATTTTCCTAAGAAAAGAATGTCAGGATTAGTTGACACAATATTTAAAACCTTGTGATTTGATATGATGGTGAACATATTCACTCCAATCCTCTGAACTGTAGTGCTCTCTGTGTATTTTTCCATACCTGCACAATGTGGTGAGCAGATGTGTCATCCAGACTCAGCTCAGTCAGAACCGTACAGCAGGCTGGAAAAGGATTAAAGACGATATGGAAAAGCCTAATTTAAGAACCCTTAAATGCAATCCAATAGTCTTAGAGAATATTACGAACATTATGATATGACCATTAATAACTGACCCCCAAAACCACAGGAAGACACACACTTGGACCAGTTGCCTTTTAGATTGTAACATTGAACGTTTCTCTTGTATTGGGAGAGACATAACAACATACTTGCTTTTAACCAAACTTGTTTTATTTCATAGTCTTGTCTGTAGACATTCGGAAACAGCTCCAACAATTTCCTCTAAATCATAGATGAAGTAAATCAATTCTCAGTGGTGTGTAATTTCACTTCAGGAAAAGGCTGTTGACATTCTGAGCAACCGATAAAACCCCTCGGGGAGAAGGATTTACTCTGCAGAGGCAAGGACATGGGCCTTTTTAACCGTACTAAATTATTTACAGGACATAGTCTTACTGGGTGATTTCTAAATCTCAAGAAACCCTAGATTAAACAATACTTTATGTGCAGTGTGTGTAATAACTTGTCTTGTCCCTGACCTGACTTCAGGGCCATGGTGTTGTCCTCCTCCTCCTGAGGGCTCAGCTCCTCTCTGATGTGCTCTCTGTGGATTCGGCCGGCTGCGTTGGCGCTGGAGAGCGTCTCGATGGACGAGCGGTCACAGATGTACTGCCTGTCACTGGGAGAATCATTGGTCATGGTATTTATATTACACAATACCAATTCATGTCAATTAAAGCAATTTTTCTCATTTGCTTTTTAATGGTAATGTTCTGTACTCAGTTGTAGTTGAACATCATTAGCTGTTAGGAATAATTGGAGGTAAAACTTGGGAAGAAAAGACAGAAAGGCTAGTTAAATATGGGGCAGTTTAAACCTGAACCTTTTAAGAATACTCTCGGGTATTGCAGGAATTTAGAAGCGTACTTCCAGAAAGTTGTAAAACTCGTATGAAACATATTTCATAGAATGGCCATATTTTATAAAAAATATAAATCAATACATAAGGCTGCAGATGCTGCAAAAACACTTGATCCCACAACTCCCATTATGCAACAAACAACCCCCTGTTGTTGATGTCTTTGCATACTCCAGATGTAATGCAGGCTTTCTGCTATAAAATGGAAGTCTCAAAAGCTGACAAATGAACGATTTTAATAAAAGATGCTATCGAGTTTCATTATGGGAAATGTAGGATCTGTTGTATTTGGAGCTTGACTTTTACCAGTCAAGGCAGTATCTTGGCCTCTGTTGGTCTGATTTGAATAATTCTTTTTGGTATTGTCTCTGTGAGTCCCCCAGCTTAATGAAACAACTATACTGAATTGAAGGTGGGACATCTTAAGATCACAAAATCACTTTAACATGGACTATTGAATTGAATTCATATAATTATCAAAAATGTTTTAATTGTCTCACAAACCTGTGGAGCAGCCGGAGAAGCTGCTGCACCCCGCCCCAGCTCCGGATCTCCGCCCTGGTGTCGGGGTCCTCACAGAGCTGGACCAGGACCCAGGCCACGCTCCACAGTAGCTTCAGGTGCTGAGCGTTCAGCAGGCTCAGCAGCACCGGCAGACCCTCCAGCCCCCTCAGCTGCTCCCTCACCTGCCACACCGGAGACAGGAGCCTCAGCAGCTCCGCACCCATTCTGGAGGAAACATCAGGTTCACTCTAACCTTTCTTGTTTCCTTGTATTCAAAGGTAGATTCTTGGAATCGCTTTCTAGCTGCACCACACTTGTATAAATAAAGAATTGATTATTATTCTGTATAAAGGGTCATATGTTCTATCTATCCCAAGCAATGTGTCTCAGTGCACCTGCAGGCGACACAACATGGGAACAGGGATGAACACAAATGCAGCCACTTGATTTGTTTGGCTAGTTTTTTTGTACGTTATCAACATAAATAACGTATGTTTCCCACTACTTTCAAATACATCAACCAAGATTTCTTACCTCTTTGACAGCAGGTCATATTCTTGCAGTATTAGAAGTAGGTTCTCAACAATGGGTTAGCTCGCCAATCTTCTCCTTGCATTCTGGGCTGCAGAAAACAAAGGCTTATCACAGATGAAGTCAAAAGTGTATTTACAACGTTAAAGAAAGTGTTTGCCTACCTCTCAGCCAAAGTGGTGAGTGCCAGCAGGGCCCCCCAGCAGCACACTGCTATCTGTTGTTGAGAGGAGCTTCACCAAGGTCTATGCATGGTTGATTGAAGTAAATAATTAACTCTTTCTCCACAAAGTACATTACATGTAGAGGAATACGAGATTAGAAATTGAGGGCAGAGACACCCACAGACCATCATACTACAAGAAAAGGATATCCTAATATGGTCACACATCTCACAAAGAATGTGCAACTTCCACTCTATGAATGTTTTTTTTATTCATTTGAAAACTGAGAGTAAATATTTGCAAATATTTCGACCCTAAAATATGCCTACTATCATCCACATATGATATTGTTTCCTAAATTTCCCATTTTCAACTGTTGGTGGTTTGAATAAGAAGGTCATAATGTGTCTAAATTGGAAAATGTTCATTCTCTGAGGAGCTGGGTTTTCCATGACAATTTGTGCATTAAATGTAAGCCTTGTTTGTATAATGACATGCCACATGTTGGTGCTAGAGAAAATGAGATAGATTTAGGGAAAAACAGCCAAGACTAGTGCTGGATGGACATGCTGGCCAACATTGTCAACCTTTAGCCCTAGTGCTGAATCAAACAATATTTAATAGATTATAAAAACTAAATTCTAAACTAGCACCAATACATTCAATATACAACATATATTGAGTTGCAAGTTCCAATGCACCACCAGGAATAACTTCCTTTATAGCATAATGTTTATCCCAGATATAAATATGATTTAAAACAGCACATCATCACAGATAACCTTATCTCTACTTATCACTCACCCTGTGAGCGCCGCTATCGATGACCCAGACCCTTTGATCTTCAACGGCAGATAGCTTCTGAAACATGTCTGCAGGGAAATCAGCAAAGGCAGCATTAGTGAGAATGTACACTAGGCTCATATTATCAGTGTTTTGATATTTAGTTCAGATTACTCACAGGTCATTGTGACCAGCTTCTGCCACAGCAAACGCCTGTTCACCACACGCTATGTACATGACAGTGACATGCTCCATATACTGAAAGAGAGAAAATGGGGATGTCATGAGATATGTAAGGATAAATCACAAAACATAGCTTGTTTAGGCATGTGAAGAACATCTTAGAGAGCATTTACCCTGGCAAGTAAATTGATGCCTTGGAGCTGATGGAGGATTTTCTAAAAGAAAGCAGTTATAAGAGACAGTTTCTTCTTATACAGATGAAGTCTTCATACAGTTCAAGATAAAATATGAAAAATGAAAGTTTATTTACCTGATGGTGAGGATCTCTAATCAGTAATCGTAGACGAATCAAAACTCTGAGGACAGACTCAGGCCAGAGCATGGTCAATCCAGTCACTGAAGAAGGGAGAGCAAACATTGTCACTTAGCTTAACATAAGAAATAAAAAACCTGCAGTAATCAAATACACTTTACCTGCAGAGTCTGTTCTTCACCAAGACGTTAGGATTCAGAGAAGAGTTTTTCTGCAATGGGTGGCTGCTGAAACATCTTTGGTCTCTGTATGTGATGCTGGAAAATGTACGATAAATATAATAAGGTCCACATGGTACAGACTCTGATTCCTCAAATCAATATTATATTGAATGTAAAGCTACATAATTCAAGAACTTCTGTAGTCTTATGGTTCAAAACAAGTGAATGTAACCGTTAAAATGAATTGGTAAAAAGATACAATAAGAATTCATTTGTTGCAGCAGACAGTAATAGAGATAGATATAGAAGTGATAATGAGAGGTATATAAAACAAAAACAAAAAATATATATAAAATAGTAAAATATATATATATAGTAATGGTACTTGTGTTTGTCTGTAATAATATTGAGATTAAATATGAATGACATAACATAATGAAGAAATCAAAGATCAGAGAAAATATATTAAAACATAATATATCGTAAATTATAATTTGAGATATAAAATAAGGATAAAGGTAGTAATGAGGAATTCTTTAAGACAATTCCCTAAGCATAAAAACCTGAATTTTTCCCAGTTCAGAGGCTTCGCTGGAGAGGTCACTCTCACTCTTCTGTCTGCTGGTATCTTTTGGAGCATGCAGGCCTGGAGATCTGCTGACTCCACTGCTGCGTGCTTTACTGTGACTCAGCGCGGCCACCTGCAACACAGGGAGTCTCATACTACAATATATACACAGACCAGAAGAAATATGAGATGGTTTGTAATATTATCGAAAGGTCTAGACACTCAGCCATGGCGTGGCCTCATGTGTTGTTGTTCACCTCTTGCCTGGGAATGCCTTTGGCGAGCAGGGACTGGAGCCTCCTGAGATCATGAGACGCCCTAGAAAACAGGCTTCATCAGGCGAATTGGTTTAGTCATATGAGGGGTTATTTTTTAATGACATTACAGACTTTAAAATGAGTGTGAGGAGGAGATGAAGTGGCTTACTTTCTCTGTAATTCTCTGGATTTCAGGAGCGATTTTTCTCCTTGTCTCAATTTTTTAACTGGATTGGACATTTTAACGTCCCACTTCGTTTCCATGAGTAACCTGTGGTTTAACTTCAGACATTTTTGGGACATATTGACATTGAGACATAAATGGGAATTTAATAAAGGAGATACATTTATGCTACCTACTACTTCACTGTATTTCATACGCAAATATTTTACACAATCAAGTAAAATATTTGTATTAGCATACAGCAGATGCAAAGATGGTCTCAGATCTCAGGCTTCTTTCAACATAGCTAATTAAAGATGTATAAAGAAAAATACTTTAAACTGAAAAATTATTTATCATCTTTAGTTACTTTGCAGAGTTAGAATATTCATACAAAATGTAAATAAACCATTGCCTTCTGATATACTATTATGTGTTAAAATACATTAAACAGTAATTATAATTAGCTCCTCCTTTACCAGCTGCACTATTTAAATTGATGAATGCAACAATCCAGTTTATCAGAATCTGGTTTTTGGGTTAAGGTGTTCACAAACAAAGAATTTGCAATAAAATAAAATAGAATACACACAATTAAAATTAAATAAATATTTAAGAAATACTGTCAACACATTTCAAATTATAATATAATGAACATCTTTAGCATAACTAATCATATTATTCTGAAATAAGCCACTCTAGATAATGAGAGTAGCCTACTTTTACTATTGGTATTTGATGATGCTAAAATTTGAGGAGCTACTTTTGGAATTTGAGTTCAGATATCCTACTTGTAACAAAGTATCTCACTGTCGCATATTGCCACTTTATTTCAGAAAAGCTCTGAGTAGCCTATAGGCCTACTTGTTTCATCCCCACTGCTAGCTGCTGTGACAGGAAGGCTAGCTAGTTGTTTGGATGATGTTGGGTAAAGGAAGTGGTGTTGGACTGAGCTGTCCTTGTTAGGCAGTTAAAAAAAAGGGCAACGTCTCTTACCCCTCCTCCAGCATCGCAAACTAGAAGCATACAGCTGGTTATGAACTGCTAAATACAAACTGTGTTATATTATCCTAAATCGAGGATATAGCTTCATGGTTTTTTTAATCCTGAAACGCCAGCAGCCCTTGACATTAGCGTTTCTAACCAATCCAGGTTAGCAATATAGACAGTCCTGGTATACCATGGATACAACAGACGCTATTCGCATTCCGTCACCACGGCAATTTAACACCGGAAGGTCGTTAACACCTTTGATTTTCAACATAAATACTATAAATGTATTTTTTGCAAACTCAAACTCGATAACAATACCAACAAAAAAATACAAAAAAATACCGGTAAGCAGTAGGCTAACCCTACAAGGAACTCTTAAAATAATATCAAATATTTTTATTTCTTAGTATAATCTTTTATTATTATTAGAGTTTCTTAATCCTACCCATTCTATTTGATTTATTTATCAATATTTCTTTTATTTAATACATGTTTTTATCATTTTAATATTCTCTGTACCATATATTGGAACATGTCTGTCATGTTTGCATATTTTAATCTTTAAAAAAAAAAGATTTATACAAATTCCTCACACACAAACTTGTGTTTCACCTAAATATTTTCAATCAACTGCTTCTAATAAGGTAAACATATCAATCCATCAGCAACAAGTTATTGACTCATAAATGCACTGGATGCTACGTTGAAAAATCAGCCCCTATGCCTATTATTTAATAATAAATAAAGTAAACTGTTTGATTGATAAAGGCTAATGGTGGAGGAGGAGTGGGAAGTGTAATTAGTTTAACATGTTTAAAAATGGAACCAAATATTTTTGGTTTGTGTTCGCGAGAACACGTCAAGACTCAAAGGAACTACAAGCTATCGCGATACTGGAGTGTTCCTCCCTTTGTGATTCACGTACAATTTACGTCAACCTTTTGGCGTAGGTTAGTTGAACACGTTTGGCGATGCGTTCCTCACTGTGCGTAGCTCAGGCAAAAGCTGCGAGAAGGGGAATGTCGGCTTGTGAATGATCGGTTTTTGAGGCGGCAGGGAGCGTCAACGTTATGGGTAAGACGCTGCTGCAGTCAGATTTATTCAGAAACCCGCGTTGTAAACTCCAACTCTGTTTATTTGTGTGTGATTGTATTCGCTTTTTGAATAATTGTCCGTGCCGCTGTTTTTAGCTTCTGCAGTTGTCTGAGCAACCAACGCCCAGTCTTTGGATGGGTTAGCTAGTTGCTAGCCTGGGCTTCGCTAGCAGTGTGCATAACCTAACGGTAGAGTCATTTCCTGCCTTTAGCTCTTTAGAAAAGTATTTTAGCAAACGTTTCTGTTGGTGTTAAGAGCTAACGTATTGGGTCACATTAATACACCTTTTACGTGTTTTTGTCTTCAATTACTAGCAATTTTCGTCTTCAATTACTAGCAATTATACTAACTAGCTCACTTGGTGTCGCATGTTGGATTAACCAGATCAGAGTAATGCTAACGTTAACTAACCACTGCATGTGAACTGTTGTAGCTCTACATTAGTCTGTTTGTTTACGTGAGAAAACGTTAAATGGTTGCACATTATGCAGAATAAAGTCGCTGTAGCTAGCAATACAATTTGTCTTTACACAGTGCTTCTTTAAACCGGGAGAACGACCACTTTCCGTCGTTTGTGTGCCCCGGATGGGGGCTCCATTAGTGTGTGTGTGAGATCAATAATTTGAGTAAACTGCCATGATTGTGGAATCTAGGTTAGAAAACAAATCTGGAAAATGTGTCACTGCCAGGCATAAGGAAGGCACGACTCTCATCTAATCTGGATTACAGTGGATCTAGTCCCTAAGAGTTCATGTTTGACTTTTTTTTAAGTCATTGGCTCAGACTGACCTTTAAATCCTAACACTGTGTGTGTTTCCCTCCAACTAAAACAACACACTGAAACATGCATAAAATCTGCACAAGCAAACTAATTGAGTCCACCACCTGTCACCACTTCCTTTGGCAGACCTGTCAGACAGCCTGAAAGAAAACTGACAACTGTTGTATAAACTGACAGTTCTATTTCCTTCTAATTTTTTTTAGAATCAAAATCAGCTAAAATGGATATGACTAATGATGGTTTGCTAGTGAACTAATTTACAAAACCCAATGTATGTACTCGCACACAGTTGCAGTAGGATGAGGATGTTGCTGAGATTAAACTGCACATCCTGTAGGCAAATCGGCTTATTAAATCATAGTGTCACACAGAAGACATGTGGGCTGCTGTTAGTTTGCAGGAGATGCTCCGGAGTAAAGGTCGCAATCCTTTCCTAGCCACAGGCGATACAAAAAGCTACTATGAATGGGCCTTGCTTCATGGTGATACTGACATTAAAGGAGCAAGTGGAGTGTAATATGAACAACACTGGCCAACTGTCTGTGTTGTTACAATAGCCCAGAGATCATGAATCATTTTGCCTTGGGCTTCTCAGCTTGCAATCCTGATTCTGTGAGAGAAAAATGGTTTGTTTGTCAGATGGCCTGAGATGATTCCATGTTGCTTTTTTGTGATCTCTCTCTTTGCTTTCTGACCCTGGAAATTCTGGCTCTGCACGCACAATGGTCCACATTACATTGATCTACTACACAAAACAGCAGTTCAAACAGTAAGTATTTGAAATTATCTTTTATTACTTATACCGCTTTGCAAAAAACATACATTCTATAAACTTGTATTGGAGGATTCTCAAAACTCCTAGATACCAACTGAGTCCTGCTTAGTTACAATTTAAAAATGCTCAATACATCTAGACTATTAATATTCATATTTGTTTTTAATGGCGGAATCTTGGATATGAATATTCCCTCAATGTGATATATCTAAGATTAAAACTGGAATGAGCAGATGCACAGTTAGTATGTGAAACTGTAAAAATGTTTTGAAAAACGATGTCTGTAACTTTGAATCTACTTCAGGAGAACATAAAGGTTTGATTGATTTTTAAGACTGGGAGTATATTTCAGTTTGGCAGCATGGGAATAGGGGCAATTACAAATGTGTATGCCTTGCAGCTGAAGCAGGTTTGGCAAATTTGATTTCTTAATTGGATTTAATGTGTTTTCTTTCTTTTTTTTCTCTACAGCAGCAAAAGAGTCTGGAAGGATATGTTGGCTTTGCAAGCCTCCCCAACCAAGTGGTACAGGAAGTCTGTCAAGAGGGGCTTCGAGTTCACCCTGATGGTCGTGGGTAAGAACACACACTTCTCAGCCCTCTGTTTGCTCTATGTTTTATATGAATCATTTCATTTGTTTTATTGGCGGGTGGCATTTAAGAATTCTACACTGTGGTTTGCTTTTGAGAAAGAAGGAGATTGTGTGTGGGCGCAGTCATATTTATACACAAGGGACATGCTCCCCCAGCTTTGTAGTGTTAATGCTGAGTCAGAGAGGAAGGGGACCATTGCCATTACTCTTATTCAAATTAATCATAGTGTCAGGTCCCCCTGAGAAGAAACATTTGGATGAAATTAATCTAGCAACATTCAGCAAATAAAATGGAAACATTCTTTTAAAATGCCTGGATGTGGTAGTTGACACTGAGCCAAGATCCTCCTCGGCTGATCAGTCCCTGTTTGGAGGGAAAATGTTCTCTCGGGTCAAAACATTTCCTGTGGTGGGACTGTCAGAATTTCGACCCAGCATAACTCTAGAATAGCAACAACACCATGTTTCTGCGGGGCTTTAGCCTATAGTACCACAGACGCATTCCATTTACATGTTATGTGGCAGTCTTTTTATTGCTATTAATAGGGACTTTAGTATATCACTCTGCCCTTATTCTCTGCACTGTCCTCTGCTAAAGCTTCTGATAGTGACAACTGCGGACTATTAATGCTTCACAGTGTTGCTACATAATAGCTTCATTTTGGGAATAATTTTAAAAAACATGCAAATTGCAATGCATCTACCAACAAGGAAAGAACAGGAGGGTCCTCTGGGCTTTTCTGGTAGTTAAAGGCTTGCCATTGTCTTTACGGTATCACCCCTCTTGCTTGGAACAATATTCAGCTTTTCTTGGGCTCTGATAAGCTGCGAGCCCACATGT